ACTGCTACTTCAGTTACGACTACTACGACTACTGCTACTACTACTGCTACTACTACTGCTACTACTACTGCTACTACTACTACTGCTACTACTACTACTGCTACTACTACTACTGCTTCTTCTACTACTAGTCATACCCCACACTCAAGCCTCCCTGCTTGGCCACAGTAAAAAGATACGGACCCAGACGTTTATTGGTCAAAAACCAGTTGCGCTTGAGTCGTGTGCTTAAGATTGCTTCTTCGTTCCTTCTTTTTAGCACATGGAATCTGAAGATGCCCGATCTTCGCCTCTCCTGTGCTCCCTTCAGGACGGCATGATCACTGAGGAGCGGCTGGCGGAGATCCTGCTGAACCCCAAGGCCATTGCCTACTTCCAGACGCTGGACGTGGACGTCACCGAGAGCGCGGCGCTGTTTAGCTTGTTAGATAATGGTGACGGCGAGATCACGCTGGAGGCGGGGACAGCCTGGAGAGTTCAACATGGCCGGGAGATTCGTGTCGTTGCATTCAGACGTTTGCCGCCAAAGCAGTTGCTTAGGAGTTTATCGACGGCATCCTGCGCTGCAAAGGGCCAGCAAGGGCCATCGACCAAGTGGTGCCGTGGCAGAGTCGAGTGCATGGCAGTTGTGGAGGTTGTACTCTTTTTTTTGGTGCAGACGGGGTTCTCCACCTCATTCTTGCCAACTCCTTCAATTCCTTCACCTCCATTTACTTGTTGATCATTGGTGGGATGCAGATTTCGCAATTTCACTTGAGCATCACCGAGTTTGGCGCGTGCGTCACGGGGACTGCTTATCGATGGGGCACTCTGGTCCGAGCAAGCTAAGCGCGTGAAGTTCCAGATGTCAACAGTCCTTTGCGCGAACTCAGGCGCTGCGCGCAGACCTGAGACTTGGCCAAAGAGGCATATTTTCAAGCAATGAAACAGCAGAGGGCGCCAACCAGCTTCTTGCTTGGGGTGAGTTTGTTGGTTTCACGATGTCGCCAGTGCTTCTTTGGGCTTTGGGGTCCAGGGGTGTGTGCGAAAGCACTGACTCCTGAGGGACTTTTCTCGATTTTGGGGATCCTGTTAGCTTACCTTCCAGCCTCCAGGCCAACCAGGTTGCCCGCATTTGTCCGGCATGGCGTCATTGGTTTCACTGGCAATGCCCAACGTTCAGGAAGCAGATGGACTTGAAATTGGAGAGAGTGGTCAGGGCCATGCTGACTGCAAAGCTGGTAGACCCATTTGGGCTTGAAAGCTCGGCTGATCACCATCACCATCACAATCTTTGGCACAAGACGCTCTCGTCTTGAACGACCAGCTCCCGTTAGCGCTTCCTTGCTTGTGGTAGTGAATCCAGGCCGTTTGTTTTTTACCATATCCCTTTCAACAGTCATGCTCAGCTGCATGCGTCTGAGACGCAGCTGCCAAGCCCATCTCAAGCTGATTTGCCCACAGTTCCTGTGATTGCACTGTTCTTGACCAAGCCTGTTTTTGCTACGACTGTGGCAGAGTGGGACTTAAATAATCAAGTCCTCTCAGCTTGGAGCATTTTCACTCCACCTGCAAAGTCGGGCAATGATTCTCAAGAGCGGACACCTGAGTCCAAAGTGGCGTGGCAGAGACCTGCGCGACGAGGTATGGTTGGAGATGCAGCTTCGCGCTCCGACATAGTCCGTGCGGCTGAAAAGGTGTGTCATTTTTTAGCGGAGTCCTCGAAATGGTGGTTTCTCATTTCCCTTGGAAGCTACCAAAACAGGGTACCCACGAAAAAGACCAGCCCCGGAAATCGATGCCGCAGGTGTGAGACCCATCAACACAGGCGTGGAGTCCCTCCTGCAACATCCCCCCCACGGCATTAGGCTGTGCTGTATGTTCGCAGCCTGCCTTGTCGCGTGGAATTAACGGCATCAAGAGTTTTGAAGGCGCCAAGCCCTTGTGGTCCATTCGACCTTCGCGGCTGAGGGCAACTGCTGCATGATTTCTTTGGTCGCCCAGCTTGCATTGTGCACATCTTGCCGACTTCCCTGATTGTTTTCTCTCCTTGGCTGCTCCACAGATGTTTTGTTTTGGGACCAAATTTCTCCGCCAAAAGGGCCTTGGCGAGTCGTCAGGATGGCTTTGCGCTGGAGGCTTTGGAGGCGCTGCTGTCCCAGGAGACAGAGACAGAGGTGGGGAAGGTCGAGCATGTGGCTCTTGGCTTTTCTTCTGCCGGGCCGTTCCCTGAGTTTTATCTGGGCCACGGGTTTTCTGTTGTGTTCTGCGGAGCTTGATGGGCAGGTTGGCAGCTTGAATTTCCGTGAACTGGAGCGGGAGTTGCTCCACCCACACGCATGCAACCCCCGCGCCCAAGCCTTCGCAGCGCTTGCGAGACCAGGCCCTGCCCAACTCGGCGCAGCTGTGCGCTGCCGAGACCCTGGGGGGCCTGGCGGCGGCAAGGGCGCGCCAGAAGGCCGGCCAGATGCTCATTGCGCTTGCGCTAGGTTCCAGGTCAAAGGTACGGTACTTCTTCAGACGCTCAGGTCTTTAAGTCTTTGAGTTGTCGGATCTTCACGTGGAATCACCCACACGGCTCAATTGGTCCTGTTGGTTCCAGCCATGGATGAGGTTCATTTTCAGCGGGCATTTCTGGGTGGATGGATGCGCTAGGCTAGCTTTCGCAGAATCCTGCACTGCTTTGGCCCATGTCCAATCCAGGCACGTCATGCATGAGGCTGAGTGAAGGCTCAAGCTAAGAGAGACTGACCGCAGTCTGGGCAGTCTCCGAATGAGGCGATGTCCTCCATCAAGAGCACTGCAGATGCAGAGCGCCTCGGCTCGGGACAGAAGGCTTAGCGGGCCAAGGCTTGTGACTCACAGCGGGAGGCCATTAGTTTTGATGTTCGGGCATGCGCTTATTGCTTTCCGAGGATGGAGAAAGCGGACAATGTCTCACTGCGGCGGCAGTGTCTTGGATTGCGTGCTGCCGCGCTTCCGTGAAATAATGTAGTACTCACAGGGACAAAGCCTCAGTCAGCCTCGAGCAATCCTTTTTGTTGTTGGGTGGGAGGTATGCTTTGAGAGGGTTGCAAAGTGTAGTTTGCAACGTGATGTATTTATCAACCATGTAAAACCCCAATGCATGAATGTCTCACTTGCGCAGTCTCATCATTACGACTGCGTATGGCTCAAGAAAAAGCGCGCTGTGGACAGGGTTCATTGTTGACCCTTCCCGGTTGTTTAACCTGTTCTGTAGGTTATCAGCCGTAAGCGGCTCTTTGTACAGAGTTGTACGCCATGGATGGCGGTCCTGGACTACCCCATACTGAGGTGCGTCCCACACCTGATGAGCCTGCAGGCGATGAAGACGCCTCGCAATACGAACCGACTAGTTGCGCGAATTCCCAAGTGGCCAGGGAGCTCATCAGGAAGGGACAGGCGCTGAGCAGTCAGGGCCCCGAATCACTTCGATCTCGAAGTGATCGTGGGAGGACTGGGCGGTCTGGTGCTCGATCTCCTTCACCTGTTGGATCAGATCGGCATCGGCATGGTGACATCGTCATGTACGACCCCCAGACCGATCTCGCAAGGGGAAACCCTATGCCACAGTCCATGAATCAGTTCAATCAACATGTTGCAAACGTCCACCTCGATCCTTCGGTGACGATCAACCAGGAGGTGACGAACTATCAGCAGGTCAACGCTACTCAGAACAATGCCCAGTTCAATCAGTTCGTGAATCAGGACACCGGTCCCATGGTCGCCCAGTTGGCGGAGGCAAGGCATGGTGAGATCATTGCCGGACTTCAGAGCCAATCGGAGGCCATGAGACGCGAGATTCAAATGAATGCGGAGCAGCGTGTGAACACCATGAAATCGGAAAGAGAAGCCGAGATGAAGTACCAAAACGCCATGAACACGATCAGCGAGCAGGAGAAGCAGATCAGGGAGCTAAGGGCTATGGTCGAGCAGATGATGATGCAGAATCAACAGCAACCGCCTGCTCAACCTGCTCCGGCCCCTGCGCCTCCCGTTCAGCAGGCACCAGCTACCCCCTTGGCTATCCCGACAATTCCTTTGGCTGCATCTCCACCCGGACTTTCGAATGCTTCCTCGCACAGTTGGACGAAGGTCGGGAGCGACCCCTACGGCAAAGACGGATCCGTTCCCGCCGGGGCCGTGGACGATGCTGCTACCGGAGACGGTTGGCCTGGCGATGATGGTGATGGTGGAAATGACAAGGACAAGAAAAAGAAGAAGAAGAAGAAGAAGAAGGGCCGTAGCCGACGCCGGCGACGAGATCCGTCATCTTCCCCCTCGTCATCTTCATCATCAACTTCGACTGCATCGGATGAATTCTTTCGACGAAAGCTACTGAAGCACTTAGGTAATTCGAGCGATCCGACAGCGGAACGCGTTCGTGTAAAGGAGGGTGACAGAATTCAGATTCCCCGATTCCCGAAGCCCGAACAGTACCGTAATTGGAGGATCAAAGTTAGGGATGCTGTTGTTGCTACTTCCGACCAACCCGAAAAGGCATTTGAGTGGATTGAGGCAACTTGGATCCCAGGTCAAACTGTTGAAGTCCCATCTTGACGCAAAGCTGGCATCGGCGTTGACGAACATCTTGGAGGGCGACCTCGCGCGGCAAGTCGACATTTTCAAAGAACAAGAAGCAAAGGAGAAACGCTATGCGAGGGGACGCCAAATTCTTTTGATGATTCACAAGCACTTCAGCACGAACATCAAACATGGTGCAATTTACGACTTTGAGGACTTGCTCTCTGTCCAGCTCATCAACGAGGACCTCAAGAACTTCACGACGAGATGGGACACGGTCATCGCCGGGATGGGCAATGAGCAGAATGAGAAAACCTTGAAGCGCTGTTCCACCGCCAGATTCGAAAGTTTCGGCCTCTCAGTCATGATCTCAATGAGTATGAGCGGGCTGAGGAAGGGACGGAAAAGCGCTCCTATAAATTCTTGATTGACGCATCGAGGAATTATTTGGAGCGGAAGCGGCTTGTTCACATGCGGGATGCTATGTCAAGCAACACGACGGGACGTGGCAGGACTCCATCGAACAACCCTGCAGTTCCTGGAATCCCCAAGGGTGTATGTGTGAAATTTCAAACTGGCCAGTGCACCTATGGTTCAGACTGCCGATTCGAACATGTTAAGGCGCCGAAAGGTAAGGGGAAAGGCAAGAAGGGCGGATCAAGATCTCAGACGCCAAGGAAGTATCGTTCGCAGAGTCCCCCTGGTTCGAAGCCCCAGGTATGCAAGTTCTTCAAAGCGAGCAGATGCGAGAGGGGGAAAGATTGCCCATGGCAGCGCCCCGCAACTTCCAAGGCAGCTCCAGCCCCAAAGGCCGACAAAAACACTAGCGGAGATACCCCCAAGACATCGCCGAGAGACAAAAAGAAGAAGAAGAAGAAGAAGGGTAGCAGGCCTTCTTCTCAGGATTCGAAAGATTCGAAGGGTTCTCAGTCCCTCAAGTCTCCGCGATCGTCAAAAGGCAGCAATGCCGCGGTGTGCCTCCTCCAGGCGATGGTGTGCGCCGCGACCCTCGACTCGGTCGCCTCGTATCCTTGCTTGCCTAGTGTGAGTCACGATGTTTTCCAGGGTATGCCATGTATCAAGAAGTGTGTGCAATTCTCTGACTACCCATCTATTTCGAACTATGAGACTGACGGCGAGCTTTGGCCCTACACTGCCTCGTCGAGAAGGTTTGCACATGAGTTTCCTGTTGATTACATTCCGAAGTTCGATGAGAGAGCTGTTTCAGACGCAACTCTTGTCGGCGCTATGCATGAAGCTATGGTGAAGGATTTGCTCAAAGGCAGGAAGACTTCTTGCAAATT